GCCAAGGCACGCGCGTGACATCCCTCCACCTCATTTACTCGGGCTGTTTAACAGCTCGATATACCCCTGGCACGGCACGCATATTGTATGGCCCCATCAATTTTTTTTTGCCTTTTCATCGGCTATACCCCTGGCAAGGCATGCGTATCGCATTTCCCCCATCTTACTACATATCCTCGGGCCAATTTTTTCAGCTATACGCCTGGCAAGATACGAGTATCGCACAAGCATATCCTGAATGGCTAAACGCCGCCCGGTGCTGTGCATATTGCCGCACAGTGAACCCGGCAACACGATGAAGATAAACCCCCCCCGAAGATCGATTATTTTTTTATTTCTTTTGTAACTCAAACATCAGATTTCATCAGATTTCATTTCAAATAGAGAGCTCGACGCCGGGGATCCTCCAGTTTTTACTCCCGCGCTTGGAATAAAAAGAGCTTTAAGGGGAAAAAAAAAAAAAAAGTTGTTACTGCCGGATGGTTCTGGAAGCATCAGGCGACTGCCTGCGAGTCTTCCTCTGAGAGCTCGAGGGCTGCTGCCTACTCTTATTAAGCCTAATACCCTAGCGATTTCCTAATCGGGAAAATTATTTGGCAGACGAGGATGCAAGGGCGCGCAGAGGGGGGAGAAGGAAAAAAAAACAACACCACAGCGACCTCGGTCCCGGCTTCGTTCTGAGGCAGCTCTTACATTCTACCTTTGCAAAAATTACAAAATTGGATTAAAAAACTCGTATAGCTTTGAAAACCTTTTTACACGATCGGAAATAGAGAAAAAAAAAAAAAAAAGACTCCCGACGTGCGTCACTCACTCCGTGAAGAACTTTTTTACTCGTTTATCGTTCCCCAGCCCGCATCTGGCTTACGCAATTAATACAGTAATTACCTCGCAGTATTTTCCCGTCCTTCACCTCTCTACAAGGCTAATCACTCCTCACACTCTATGATGGTCTCTCCCCCCTCCAATCCCCCCCCCCAAAAAAAAAAAAAAAATCATTACCATAAATGACACCTGGCAACCGCTCGATTACAGAAAAATGCACACAGACCGTCCTCCGACTCTCTCGAGAAGCGCAAGCACAGGGACTTTTTTTTTTTTTGAAACTAACTCCAGGGCGGTACCCGGGACGCCAGGATTTCTCCGATAAGAGATCGTAGTGAAGAGGTGGCTGATGGTACCGCCCTGGAGTTAGTTTCGTTGTTTCAGAAGCAAGTCCCTGTGCTTGCGCTTCTCGAGAGAGTCGGAGGACGGGCTCCGTGCATTTTTCTGTAATCGAGCGGTTGCCAGGTGGCATTTATGGTAATGATTTTTTTTTGGGGGGGGTGGGGAGGTGGAGAAAGACCAGGATTTCTCCGAGAAGAGAGATCGTAGTGAAAAGGTGGCTGATGGTTGATTGGCTCAACGAAATTGACCGATCAACGGTGGCAGTGATCTGTCATCGGTCAACACGGGGTGATTTTTTTTGACAAACCGAACGCAACTAACAAGCGCACGACATCACAGTGATAATCTGTGACATGACATCCGAGATCAAGTTCGATGATATGCACAGCAGTGGGCATGATAATGATGATGATGATGAAGCCGATAATGATTATGATGATAGTGGTGATGATGAGGATGGTGGTGATGATAAAGACCGTGAGGAATAGGATGACGATGACGATGATGACCCATGACGGCAGTAACGCAGCGCGATCTATGTCCACCGCCATCGCAATTGGCGGACGAAAGACTTCACGCAGGTTCTGGCACAGGTTACGGCACAGGTTAGGGCGAGTTGATGACGTCAATCTGATTAAACGGCTGAAAGAAACCAGCCGACGCTAACGATGCCCCGGTGTGGCTATTCTAATCAAACGGCTGAAAGAAACCAGCCGATGCTAACGATGCCCCGGCGTGGCTATTCTTGAGGTCCATAAGGATCTATATGTTAATGACGATGATAATGACTAGAGTGATGGGCACTGTAATGATGAATCTCGAGCTATGACGAGCGGTAAGGCGATGCCTATCCCTACAGCTACGGCAATAGATATGGCGACAGCTAGATGGTTATGGCAATAGCTATCCCTACAGCTATGGCGATGGTTATGGCGATAGCTGTCCCCACGGATATGGCGATGGCTATCCCTACAGCTATGACGATGGCTATCCCTACAGCTATGGCGTAGACTGGCTATCCCTACAGCTATGGAGATTGACTATCCCTACGCAATGGCGATAGCTATCGAGTTGGCTGTTGACGGCTATGTCGATGACTAGGACAGTGATGGCCTACAGCTATGGCGTAGACTGGCTATCCCTACAGCTATGGAGATGACTATCCCTACGCAATGGAGATAGCTATCGCGTTGGCTGTTGACGGTTATGTCGATGACTAGGACAGTGATGGCTATCGCCATTACGATGGATGTATGGCTATGGCGTTTGCTATAACGATGTCTATGGCGACGACTCTGGGAATAGGTATACCGACAGCTCACGCCATAGCCCCCTCTACAGATATGACCATAGGCACAGCGATGACTGCTGATGACTATGTCCATGACTACTATCGTGATCGCTATCGCCATCCCGATGACTACAGCGATAGCTGTGGCGTTGGCTATAACGATGGTTATGGCGAGGCTACAGCGATGGCTATCCTTGCAGCTACGGCGATAGCTATAGCGATGGCTATGGCGATGACTATAGCCATGGCTATGGCGAAGGCGATCCCGACAGCTGTAGGGATAGCTTTAGCGATGGCTACAGCGATACCAAGCGGCAAAAGCTATATCCCGACGGCTTTAGCGATGTCTATCGCCATGACTCCAGCGCTGGCTACAGTGCCCGCTATATGGATGGCTATAACGAAATGCACCTTGATGGCTAATACGAAATACGTATTTTAATGTCTCTCTCTCTCTCTCTCTCCATCTATCTATCTATCTATCTATCTATCTATCTATCTATCTATCTATGTGTGTGTGTGTGTGCAGCCATGGACGCACCGACGGACATATACCGATCGAAACAATAGATATGCGCACGACGCGATCCGTCACTAGACTGGTTTTCCTCTGAACATAGTCATCAAACAAATGCCTTCGTGATCCCAGCAATGGCTGTGAGTATGACAACCGTCCCCTTCTGACAGGGCGACCACAATCCATCCATCAGTTTTTCTATCGGTACAATTCCATGCGTCTCCATTGTGTACTAAAAGTGCCTCACCGGACCTCGCTGCACCACTCGCCAAATGCCAGGAAAACAAAAGAGTGGCGGCAAGGGTATCTTTCCAAGTTCTTGGACCAGATACAGTCGCAAGGCCCATCACCGTCATCTTCTCCACAGACCCAAAAGATACGTAATTTATTGTCATCGCTACAACTACTCATAGCAACAGTGATTGGCCAACACTGAGTATAATAATCCAGTCATTAAATAATACTAGTATAACAAAACAATAATATATTAATTTTAAGCACGATCCGCTGCTCATGAACGCGCGTCATCCGTGCTTTCAAAATTTCTCTCAACTGCAAGCCGCCGCATGGATGTGTGCGCGCTGCTTCACCCTCATGCCAAATAAACACGTTGATCTTCTCAACCTCATTTGTGGTCGTGGATTATCGCGATCAATCAAAGTCTCGCTACGACGTGGCATACTTCCACTCCACAACGAAAATGTGCTCCTCTGCTTTCAGACCGAACATTGACACAACCCTTTTCCGGTCAGGACTACCCCCCTTTCCCGACGAAAACACACCCTCATCAAAATGTATACAAGCCATCTTTCTGGCCTGATACGTTCAGTACGAGGGTACGTTGTGCTCGAGGGAAAACGGCACGGACTTCTGCTTCTATACCTCTCGTCCCGATGCCATCACATCTGCTAATGGCAACCAATCATTTCCCAAACTCTTTCCTTCGCCGAGCCAAACGAACGGAAGGGGCGGGAAACCGCATCGACGAAACCCGACTTAAAGGGGGGGAAGAAAAGGGGGAAAGTTATAGATCCGCCCCCGGGGACAAAAGATTGGTAGGCTTGAGACGCGAGGGGTATCTGTAACTTTTGCGACCAGCTTTCGGGGGCCTGTCGGACCTTTTGCCAAGGTCCAGGGGCAAACGAGTAAAAACCTTTTGTTGCGAGGAGGATCTAGGCACAAGAAGGATCGGAGGAGAAGACAAAGACGATGAAGAAGAAGAAAAGTGACACCAGTGGCCTTAGACTGCTTCTCGCACATGCAACGACCGCTAATCATTACTCTTCCGCACGTACACTTCCCTGTAGAAATGCGCATATTCCCCGACACGTTTCGGCCACGCTGACACTCCTCACGGGTCTTCTCCCCAGATCGCCTTTCGGCACTCTACCAAGCTTCACATCCAAGCAGAAGAAGAAGAAGAAGAAGAAGAAGAAGAAGAATAGTGGATAACAGTGACCAACTGCCTTTCGTACACGCTTCGAATGCTCATCAATACATAACAGCGCATACTCATCTCAGCACACGCGCACAATCCCCGACACGTTTCGATCGGTTGCGCCCCGATCATCCTCAGGGGGCTTTCCACACACCCTCGCCTTGCGGCCCACCAAACACCCTTCTGAGAAGAAGAAGAAGAAGGAAGAAGAAGAAGATACTACCCGATCTGTCATGAGTACGAAACCTGATGGTATCAGACGAGCACAACAACGATAGAGAGAACAGAAATACAAAAGGAGAAGGGAGAAGCAGAGACTAAGAAGAGAGAAACGACCGAACAAGGGAAAATAGCAATTGAACACCCTTCGCCGAAGGTGAAAGTGCAAGGGAAAAGGGATTAATCGAGATGATCGCGTTAATCGTTTTTCTAAATCGGGACTGATGGTGTTAAACAGAAGCAAACAGCGGTGGAGCAGAGCAGCAGGAAGAAAGGACGAAAAGCAACAGGGAAGAGCGAGTAGAGGGAAAAACGTTTGTCACCCGCAAAACAAAAAATAAGAATAAAAGAAACATTTCTTTACACACCTTTCCTACATCGATGCATGGGATTTTCAACGACCTTAAGAACCTCTTCTCGGCTACAGTGCCTCTCCAATTCGCCGTCGACTGTGCGGCCTTGGCCCCAGCCGAACGATTGCCGCACGCGACGCACAAGCGTGACGACAGACTGCGCAGCAATATGACCGAGCACTTGGGGCAAGCCAACGGATTCCCAGCATAGCCGACCACTTCTTCAATCGGAGGAAGAGGAGGGAAGGAGCCAGCACCCTTCTTCCAAGATCCGCCGCTCTTCGTCATTCCCGACGACGATAGTGATAACGACAAGCGTCGAAGAGAAGAAGTAGAGGTAGATGACGACGATACTGATGATGACGATGACGAGAAAGAGGAGGAAGAGGAGGGCGCAGATGACACGGATTTGTCCCGGGTAGGACGGACATCAGCGTCGCGCGTCGGCGGCGAAGAACAGCAATCCTCGACGGCGCCGCGCAGAGTTACCACGTCAGATATGGCCAGCAAGAGCCGTGTCTCCACGGCAGCACAAAACGTCGCGCGATCGGAAGAGTACAACGAACCAGAAGACGTTGCCGCAGCAGCCGCCATAGCTAAAAGCTAGCTTGCCGCTCTTCTAATGGCGACACGTGGCACCCCGCTGCGCCGCTCCCGGAGAAGAACACGTACACACCGATGATCGGTTGGCGATCGAGCGATCGGCGGGGCAATACCGGTTTTTACACTTGTCCTTCGCAATGAAAACCTTCCCTCCACTCTCTTTGCCCCGCACAACCGCTCCCAGTGCGGCTTGATGACAAAGCTAATCCCAGTTCCTCCGGGACCGAGAGGCGCTCCCGGGCCGTTGACATCGAAGAAGACAGCGAGAAGGAAAGAGAAATAACAAACAACGAAAGAGAAATAACAAACAACGCAAGCGGGAAGAGAGAGAGAAGGGGAAGGAAGCGGGGAGCGGGGGGTAGGAGAGAATATCAGAGAGAAAGGAAGAGAGAGGGAGGGAGACACAGAGGGAGAGGGAGACGATGTCATTCATGCGCGCTTCCGCATCATCTTGTACTCCCGGTAACGGACAAAAACTAGATCCGACGAATCGTCACACGATCGGTCTCTATCAGACAGAGACAGAGATGAGCGGCAACGAATGACACTCTTGCAGGAGCAGCAAAAACAAATTGCGCGCTAAGTACAGCTCGGCTGGAGCGGTCGTCGTCTGGAAATTGCCGGCAAGTTCAGGGTCCCGCCCAAGTAACGAAATCCCAGGCGTCATTCCCATCCTCCTTCTCATAGCACGATCGTCATCATGGAAGAAAATGGAAGAAACAGAGAGGAGGAAAGCAGCAGAAAGCGCGGCATCGGACAACACGACAACGAGACGGAAAAGCGATGTGATTTCGACATTCCCCCGCGCACTTCACCACCCCGACTGCCTCAACAGTCCGCCCTTGTCCAGCTTCGTCGCGCGGAACCCGCCAAGCTGTTCCCCCGCCTATGCGCTCCGAGGGGAAGGACGGCGGAGGAAAGAAACGGACTGGCCCGCGGAAGGCCTACACAACCAGTTCTGGTTTGGCGCTTGTTTTTCTGAATTTTTTTGAAGTTCTGGTTGTGGTTGGATGCCGCTGTTCACGACCCCACGACGGCTAACTTCCTGCGATGCCTCTGAAAGGGGTAAATGCAAGCCTTCTCCGGACTTGAACGCACGACTTGTCGAGCCGAAGTGGAACGCGCGAGGTTCGATCACCAGTGGAATCTGACAGACAGGCCTTTCAGGCCTTTTTTTCTTATCATTATAGTAGTATGCAGCAGCCGCCCAAGTTCAAGCCTCCAGTCAGAGAAATTGGCGGGGGCGACCTGCAGCTTGGCATAGCGGCCAGGGATCAGGCGGTAGCATCAGGACCGAGCTACTTCGATGGGCCAGTCGCTGGAGCTGTCCTCCGGCCCCCTTCCCCTACAAACATCAGCAGCAGCTGGTCAATGCCGGGGGGTAGGGGTTGAACCCAAGACCACCAGGATGCCACTTGCGTGCCTTTCTTACTGATCTAATCCAGAGGACTAGCCCAGCTATCGGCCCCGGCGCTTTCCCGTGCGCCGCGCCTTTAGGCTTCGGGAGTGCGCCACGCCTTTAGGGCTTCGGGGTACCGGATCACAATGGCTGGAAGCGCCAGCCAAAAAAAAATTGAGACGGTACCCTGGCGCTTCGACGAAAATTGGCGCGCAGGGGCATTCCAGGCTTGGCATCAATAGCTGGGCCAAGTACTGGTAGTACTTGGCCCAGCTATAGGCCGCGGCGCTTTCCCATTAACGTGCCTTTAGGGCTTCGGGGTACCGGACCACAATGGCTGGAAGCGCCAGCCAATGAAAAATTGAAACGGTACTTCGGAGCTTGGGCGAAAATTGGCGCACAGGGGCATTCCAGGCTTGGCATCAATAGATGGGCCAAGTACTGGTGGTTTAATGTAGCGTGTGCACATGGGTGGTTTCTAGCTTTTTTTTTGGCTGTGTTTGCTTTCATGCCTCTATGTGCACACTCACACTACTACCGGTAGTATCAATGCATAGGACAGTCATCACTTCCCTACTAGGACGTAAAGACAACAGTCGTAGTGTGAATATAATATACACACTATTAGTGCGAATATATATAGGCCCTCGCTCCACTATCCAAACGTGCAAAATGGGACTGAATCTTCAGCTACAACATGGAGAGATACATTGCCATTTTTTTGTCTTTTGTGCATGTCAAGGGTAGTGGAGAGAGGTCAATATACTACACACATTATATATAGATATATATATATATATATATATGTGACGATATATATGAACTAGACTATGTTATTCTATCAAATGATTTTTCGTCTTTCACTACCTTCCTACCACTACTCCTAAGACTATATAGAGGGCCCCCCTGCAAGCATAGGGCCTCGCAAACGAGGTAATTCATGTTGCCCCCCGCCCCAACAGCGGTAGTCAGAGATGGGTAGGGCCGCCGGTGGGGGGGCGGCTAACGCAAAGACAGAGCATTTTGCCAGTAGCTGCGCCTCCCTTTCTCATTGTCCCCCGCCCCTCATCGAGTAGCAGCAGAGGCTATGGCCAACACTCTCCCACACACCACACACAACCCACTCGTTCTCACACTCACACCCGTGTTGGTCATAGACCCCGCTAATACCAATCAGGGGTATCCAGAGGACGGGCATACTCACACGGGGACCATTAGTCTAAAAACTTTGCGGCATTTGGTCCCTGTATGGTCACGGGCGGACCTCATCCAGGACGACCCTGACACTTTGTATTCAGGGCAAGTGCGCCCGGTCACACGGGGGAGGACCAAACGAAAAGATGGATTGTGTTAATTTTTTTTTTTCACGCTAGTATAAAGCTTGGGCCTTATCTACAACTTAAATGTTCCTGGTCGCACTTTCAGTTGTTTGGCGGGCTGTCTTCTTCCTCTACTATTCTCTTCTCTTCAATTGCCAAAAACAGAAAGAAAAAAACGAAAGGTAATTTGAGACCACCTCTGGAGGTGGTCTCAAAAAGGGTACGCCCGCGGCCCCACAGGCCGCTGACAGAAGGGTCACCGTTTGAGGCATTTGGGCAGCGAGCCTCTCCAGTGTGACCCAAAAAAATGACTCAAATTTTGGGATTTTGGGTCTTTTGGTCCTCGTGTGAGTATGCCCACAGTCCGTTGGCACTAAGTGCGCCACAGGACAATCCTATGTGTTGAGTAACCTGGGGCTAGGTCCCACTTACACGAATTAAGTGATAGTGACCGTAGATAGTAAAGATCAACGGCCAGAATCTCTTAATCCGTGCAAGTGGGACCTAGCCCCTGTTCGCAGCCAGGACTGGCTGCGTATACATGGATGCGTTTTGTCGTTTAGCGAGCGCTTTCCAGATGGGGAATGTCGCTCATTGCTTATACGGGTATACAGGGCGTCGTTGCGTGCAAAAAAGGGTTGCGGGCGGTCACAAGGCAACGACCGGTCCTTCGTGCTTGTGGTGTGGTTACGGTCGCTGGAGAGTGCTTTATGGTCGTTGAGTGATGTGCGGGCAGCGTGAGGTCGTTGCATAGTTTCTCTTTCAGGAAAGTCTGGCGTGGTGCTAGCAGGTAATGGGGCTGTTTTCGGATGCAATAGCGGGCAGATGCATCAATCGAGAAAAATTGCATAGAAGTGAAGGTGTCTTTCCGTTATCCGACCGTTCGTTCTCGATTGAGATCGACGGTATAGTATTAGTTTGGTCAGTCTACGATTTTTTCAGTTTTTTTCCCCCCCCAACCGTCTGTACTTGTCCGCAAACACGGCCCGGTTCGTGCGCCAAATCCATACAAATCTTTACCTCGCCTGGCAGTCCCGTGCTGCCAGCTTTTCAGTATATAAAAAAAAAAAAACCTTGAAGGCCGTTCCCGCTAAGTCAGCAATTCCTGCATTCAGCAAAGTTTGAGGGTCGGATACAGGTGGAAAAAAAAGGGGGAAAAAAGGATCGATGCGCTAGACTGGCAACAGTGAGGTGTGAAACATAAAGAAGGCCGTTTTTTTTTTTTTTTAAAGGCCGTTGTTTTTTTTTTGTGTTTTTTAAGGAATATCATTTATTTATTTTTTTAAGAAACATCCCGAGCTAACGCTAGGGGTGCTGATAAGAGCAGACACCGCTAGCGCCGTCAGGAAGGCTCCATCTATTGGTGGGGAGCAGCACCTGCTGGAAATCGGGTCCAGCGTCCCTAGACATGGCAATCATTTGATTATTCGAGCAAAAGATTGTGACGACTTTGTAAAGTATGTGCGTAAACAAATGTATGATGATGAGCAGCATTGATTGCCCTCAAGAAAGGGGATTAACTACTCATAAATCGTGCCTTCCTTACCCTACCGTGCTCCACCCATCCGCTGGTAGGTAAAGTGATCATCAGCAAACGAAGGGGGGGGGAAACACGGCAAAGCCAGAAACCACAATCGTTTCCCGACACCCCAACCCTAACCGTAATGACAAGTCTCCGCATCAACCATCCTAGGGAAACAGTCATCAAACACTGTATAGTAATCATCAAACACTAAACAGGGATATCGAAGAAAACCCTAACCAGTCCCCCTACCGCCAGAGAGGCCACCACCCCTGCATGATTGGAGTTGCGGACCGGACAACTCCAATCCTCGCCAACTAACCCACGCCCATCCGCTGCCAACCAGCAACTGCGCCGTCGATCCCAATAACACCGGTATTATCATCGATCCTTTGACCAACAATTCCATTTCCACAGTTATCGTCGACGAGCCTTTTGCCGTCAATTTCGTCTCCGCAGTTGTCGTCAGCAAGGAAACTGTGGTCAATATTCTTGAGCTGTTTGTTGTTGGTTTTATCGTTGTTGTTGTTGTTGTTGATGTTGTTGTTGTTGTTGTCGTTGTTGTTGTTGAAAATGTTATCGTCATTGCCGCCGTTTTCATTGATGTTCTCGCCACCTCCAACAACGATCCCTCTGCTAGCGATGTCACCTCCACAGTTGTCGTTCAAGACACCAAGAGAGTTGTAGTTGATAATCGTGAGCTCATTGTTGTTGTTGTTGTTGTTGTTGTTGTTGTTGTTGACGTTATTACCGTTGTTATTGTGGTTGTCGTTACTGTCGTTGCAGTCGATGTTGGTGCTGAAGCTGTTGCTGCCTCTGATGTCTTCAGTTGTTGACACAGACGACAATCCCGCCTCCAAAGCAGCACAGCGATCCTGGCCGTTCCTAAAGATGTCGTAGCATCTGTGCATGAGCAAGTCATCTTGATGCCAATCAACAAACTCCTCCAGCGAAGGATCCGGCCCCTCCTCCAACTCCCAAATGATATCAAGCATGCTCTGCATCATGTCCTCCAGCCATGGCGCAAGTGTGACTGTCCCCCCTACAGCCCCCAACCGACCACCATGGCTCGAGCACAAAATATCCACATCCTCCGGTAAACGGCGGCCGCCATCTTCTATAGTCTCCAACCATTCAGCCGCACCGCTTCGTAATTCATCATTAGGAACCATGTCGTCCAAAAAACGCACTGTCGGATCCCACAAATCAGACGCCTCACACCGACGTACCGTCCCTGGTGTATCCGGTGGTAATACCACCATCGCCTGGACAGAGCGACCAAGCAGACACCACGATGACCAAGAACAGCTATGGAACCACAACTGTCCCAGTCCACGGAGTATGGCTGGACCTCGCCAGCCGGTCCGTAGCGCAGGTTAGCGCTAAGCGTCAGCGCGGAACCCCCCCCAGCGGTCAATCCTTAGGGCGTGGTGCCACCTTTTTCCCTCGAATACAGCTTACGGTCATTATAGCTGTATTTGACGCATCGTGCATTCTAGATACAGCTACAATTGAAAAAAAAAAACACGCTTGAAGACCGTTCCCACTAAGTCAGCAACTCTTGCATTCAGCAAAGTTTGAGGGTCAGATACAGGTGGAAAAAAAGAAAAAAAAATGATCGACGCGTTGGACTAGCAACGGTGAGGTGTGAAACATAAAGAAGGCCGTTGTTTTTTTTTTAGGGGGTGGTGTATTTGACGCCTCGTGCAGTATCCTTAGGGCGTGATGTATTTGACGCCTCGTGCCAGAAACATGGAGGGGAACTGTTAGAGTAGGAAGGGACTGACGAACCAGGGTACTCAGTTTGCAGTGTCGACCGCACAAAGTCATTTAGAGGAAAAGGGTGGTAGAGTACCACGACCACTGGGGACTTAGGTTCCAACTGACCATGTTAGGCTGGTGTCAAACCGTGTAGGCCTGTATATTGTAGGCATGGGACAGGCGAGAAGAGGAGAGCAACCCGGCAGTGGTGGTGAGTTAAGTAAAAGATCGACGGTCTATAGGCTTACCAGCCAGATTTAGTATAGCACAGAGTAATATGATTACAATTCACAAGATCTAGAAGTTTGCCCAGCCCTAGAGGCTGTAAGCGAAACCGGCTGATGCTGCCGG